GCGCCCAAAAGTTCTTGGACATAAAAACGTTCATCGCCAAACGCGGCGTAGTCTACCAGGTGCTTTTGAAGCGCCTTCGAGAGCCAGTCCACCGTGAGTACTTTCTTGGTCCTTGGGTGTACGAACCCAGCTAAAGACGTTGTAGACGGCAAACCTTGAAACGCCGTCACTGGAGCCACACCGCCGAGATGGTCCGCCGGCTGGTGGTTCAACGCGCTCTGTACCAGGGCCAACGCACGGTGCCATTCGTCCGGACGAAGCTTCATTTCGCTGGTCAGGGTTTTCAACCCCCGCAGGATAAGCTTCATTTCGCTGGTCAGGGTTTTCAACCCCCGCAGGATAAGTCGATTAACGACATCCACTGTGCTGTTCGCCCACGGCGTGTACGGCGTTGTTATGTGGTGATGGGCACCGATCATCATCTCTTGATCTTGCCCACGACTACGTTCTTGAAATGGGTTCCGCCATCGGAAACCCATGTCGACACAATGCCATGTGTCGCAAACCAATCCATCAGGGCGTTTGCTGTGCTTTCCGCGTCGGCCGTTGCCGAAGGGAACAGACGACAAAACCCACTCATGCCGTCCTTGACGACAAGTACATATTTCCAGCCATTCGCGGCTAGCGGCTTGCACGACTCGACGATCGCAAACGCTTCCTTTTCCACCGTCGGCCACCGGGCACTTGCCCCGTCAAACCCACCACTCAAAAACGCCAACGGCTCGTGCCGTTGTTGTTCCACGGGCAACTCCAGGTCTTCGGGCGGGATCTGGGTGCAGGCGGCACCCCAATGCGTGTCGCTGGCATCGATGTAAAGGCAGATGATCTTGTCTGCAGATGGATGCGACAGCGGCACCATTTAGCGGCACCATTTGCCGCAACGTGTCCTTGACCGCTGCAAAACACGCATCGTGTTCGGAAGCCCACCCGACGGCAGACAACTTGATTCACGCCAACGCCGTCTTCTTCGACCCACCCGGCCTTCGCCGCCACGTCCAACAGGCTCCGCAGCGGACCAATCAGCTCCGAGTAGCTTGGAATGGAGCTCCGCATCCAATTTGTCGCGCAGACAAATTGTTACAGATCGGCGCCAGACGTAGGCGTCTCCAGTGCACACAGGCCCTGAACTCGATCAGGGGAATGGGATATCCCTCCGGCGAAAATCACTTTTCCGCACCACGTGGCTTGCTTTAAGAAGAAATCGCACTTCTTCGGATGTAGACTGAGGCGGAACTTTCCGCAGATGGACAGCACCTTGTCCAACAACACAAACAGCTTGTCCGAGCTGTCTGCGTACCCCAGGAGAACCCAGCACCCCGGCGTACAACAGTTCGCCGAACATATGGTTCACCACGGACTGGCAATAGGCTACGGCGTCCATCTGTCCCATAAGGATTCTGGTTGGCGTGTAGACACCGAACGGTGTCATGAACGAGTACCACATCTGGCAGGATGGGAGCAGTGGCAACTGCCAATAACCCTTCAGCCAGTCCAACGTGAAAAACACGTTCATGCCGACCAAAGTCGCCATCGCAACGTCCAGGTTCGGCATCGGCCACGGCATGGGGATCGTCCATGCGTTGATCGGGCGAGAGTCGATGGTGATTCGATATTCGCCCGGGGCTTTCTTGGCGACAATCCGCGGCGCTACCGCCCATGTCGCACGGTTGTTGCGGTAGACGAGGCCTGCGGCCTCGAGCTCTTCCACATGCTGTTTCAAATACTCCATATGGGCCGGCGGGTACCGGCGCAACG